ATTCATCCTGAATTTGCATAAGATCATCTAGATATTTGTTTAATGTCTGTCTGTCTTTTTCGGATGGGTCTCTTGACTGCATACTCCAGATGACTACTGATTTGGCCGCATAATTAATTCGCCCTTTGAGCCAGATGCCTTTCTTGAGTATTATGACAAAATTATTAAGAAACTGATTTGTCTCGTCCTCATGATATGCTTTCCTATATCTGGGTAATTTGTATTACTTACTCCAAGTTGGCAAAGTTGTAGTGCTGGTTGCATAATTTCTCCCCCCTCTGTGAAGACAGGAGTTGTGGCAAAGATTTTTAGAAATCCTTCCTTTTTGCCTAGTATTCTGGATATATACTAGCTTATAACTTGTCTAATCTTAATCGGAAAGTACTGAACCATGTCGATTCCCTTGAAATAGATGCAACTTATTAGACCTGATTGGAATAACATATATACTTTCATTGGATTTGCTTCTGGTAATACTACCACCTTCGGACCTAGGTATACTCCATCAATGGGATAAATACTTGTCTGTTTATCAATCTCAGTGTAATTAACAATGAACTTGAATTCATCGTTAAACCTTTCTCGTGTGAGATTTGTAATTTCTTCTTTTTGCTGTTTTGTCTGGATGTTGTCGATTGTCATTGGTCTAAGTGTAGGAATTTTACCAATTACTGGTAATTGCTTACTTGCTACTTTAACTGCCATTTTTGCTTTTTCTGCATACGTATTCTGGAATTTTTCCAAAACTTTTTGAGCTTCAAAAAGACTCGAGAATTTCTGATATATAGTATTCTTATTGCCTACTGTATGGACTGCAACTTCAGCCCATTGTGTGTAAATTCCTTTTATGTTCACCTGTAAACATGACATAGTGTATTTTTGGTCTTTCTTCATCGTCTATTTGCTTAGAAGATCCTTTGGATTCTTCTTTCTTATTGCTTTCAATCTTTTCACCCTGAATTTCTTCGGGAAATAAGACTGTTCTTATTGCTTTTATTTCATTTTCGATTTTTGCGAGTTGCTTTCGTAATCCTTCTGCTTGCTTTTCTAAATTTTTCATGCTTTCCATTAGTAATGGTCTTATTGCTTCCATTCTCTTGTTAATGTATCTGCAAGAAAATTTTCATGAGTAGAAATATATATAGAAACATAATCAAACTGTTGTGCCTTTAAACTCCATCGTAGTAATCTTCCTTTGTTGTAGTACTCTTTTAGTTTATATTTCGTAAAATCTTTTGTATAAAGGCTGTCTGTTTGAAAAATAAATTTTAATAGTTGTAAATCTAATTTAAATTTTTCTAAAGAATTAAAAAATATCAATGTTTATTTTTCGTATGTTATATAATTTCGTTCAGCTTGTTTGAATGTTCCTGAAATTCATTTAGAAAGCAAGCATTTGCTACCACTATTTTTAAGTTTCTGTCGTAGAAATATTTTTACTTTGGATGGTTTATTATTTGTAACAAACTGTTTCAAATCTTCATAAGCATCTGGAATCGCTTGGAGAACTGCTCCCCAAGTGTCCTGACTTGCATCAGTATTTAGAATGAGTAAATCAATTGACTTTAGTAAATAGAGTCGTGGTAAATGAGTACATAATCCTTTTAAAGCTTGTATGACTTTAGTTGCATTATTTGTCCATTTCCATGGTATTTTTTCAGAAATCATTTTTTGTAACAATTTTCTTTCTTTTGCAAGACTTTTTATAAAACCTTTTTCTCCAATATATGTCAAACATCCAAGACATTTTTGAATCTGCTTTCTATTTTCCAGTTGGTCTAGAAATTGATGTATTTTAAGTAAATGTTTTTGTGGTTCTATATAACCTCCTTCAATTATTTTCATTCCCAGAAATTTTGTTTCTGTTTTGCAAATTTTTGCTTTTTCCTTACTCAAAATAATCCCTTTATTCCATAATTGTATCAAGATTTTTGAAAGATCTTTTAAATGCTCTTCTCGTGATCCTTGCGTAAAAACAATTATATCATCTATATAAGCAAGACTAATTGATTCTAATCCCTTAAGATTATTATCCATAAATCGTTGATATATGCTAGGTGCTTATTTAAGTCCAAATGGCATTACATTATACTCATAGTGGTTTTGAGGTGGGCAGCTAAATGCTGTTAAAGGTTTGGTTTCTTCATGTAACCTTAATTGCCAATATCCTGATTTAGCATCTAATGTACTATACCATTTTGCCTTTCTAATTCGACTAAAAATATAATCTTGTCTTGGTAACTTATATGCATCTCCTTTAGTAGCTTTATTCATTTCTTTGTAATTTATAACCATTCTGCGTTTTCCTCTTTTTAATTCATTGTGATTTTCTACATAGAACGCTGGTGCACTATGTGGACTTGTACTAGGTTGTATAATACCCTTTTCTAACATTTTAGTAGTTTCTTCCTAAAATTCTTTAACTCTTTTTCTGTATATGGTATTCTATTTGACACATTTACTTCTTTATTAGGATCTATAAGTTCTATTTTTACTATTACATTATTCGTGTTTTTATTTGGATCTAATGAATTTTGACTACATATGTTTTCTAATGGTTGATTAACATGTTCTTCTAAAGTTATACTTATTGCTTTATAAATTTGAAATGAAACTTTTTTCACTATCTCCCCCTTTATAAAAGAAGATGTATTATATATTTTCATAGTAATTATTTTACTAGACTGTGTTTCTAATTGTGGACATCTAAGACTTATACTATTTAATCTTTGAATAAATGGACTGTATAACTTAAGAAAGTTATTTCCAATTATTAATGGTAATCCTGTATTTTGTTTATAAAGACTTGGTAAAGGAAATCGTTTTTCTTCGATTAATAATACTAAATCTGTTGCTCTATAATCAATACTTATTGTTTTATTATTTGCAATTCTAACTATAATTGGTTTATCTAATTTTTTCCAATACTTACTTGGTAATATAGACTCTTTTGCTAGACATACCGTTGCTCCTGTGTCTATATATGCTAGTAGGAATTTGTTAGTTAACTTAACTTTTATAAATGAACTATTTTTACTCATCTTCTGAATCAGATGTTTCTAAATCACTATCTGTTTCTGATTCTAAATCATATATATCAAAGTCTAATAATTCGCCTTCTTCATATTCTTCTTCTATAGGTTCATATCCTAAAGAAAATATCATTTTTAACTTATTTTCCTTTTCTAGCATGTTATTAGGACATTCATTTGCATAGTGTCCTATTTCTTTACATTTCCAACATCTACAATTCTTTTTACCTTTACATTTCCTTTATATTTTGGTTTCCATGGTTTTCTAAATGTCTTATATCGTCTTCGTCTATATCGTTTATTAAACTTATTGTATTTATAATATCTTTTCTTTTTATATGGGTTATAACAACCAAATTCTTGTGGTACACTTTCTAATTGTTTGCTACATCTTGAATCGACTTTAGTCATTTCATGATGTTCTATTTTCCTTATACAAAGTTCATATCTATATTCTTTTGCATATTTTTCTAAAGGTCCTAGAGTTTTTTCTTCTTTTGTTTCACTGATTTTCTTCTGAATATATTTATTCATTTTATATTTAAGTTTACTTTCAACTATTTCTATTAGTCCCGATCGATCCTTAATTTTATAGAAATTTTCTCTTACTTGACAGAAAAAATTTTCTATGTAGCATATATTGCATAGCCTCATATTTGTTAGAAATTGGACTACCTTATCTTTTTGTGTCTCTTTTGATTCTTGTCCTGTAATTCCTAAAAATTCTTTTAATAAATCTTTTGCTAATTCTTTTAAGGCTGATATTTTATATTCTGCTCCTGTTTCTGAACCACTAGCTTCAAGATTTAATAAAATTCGAGTATTTTCTAGATAATCAAATAATTCTCTAAATGTTTTATATCTTATATAATTAAAAAAATCGATTAATGTCATTCCATTTATCATTGAGTCATTAGTTTGAACTAGTAATTTTAATTAATTTGTCCAAGTGACTATTAGATCTTCTGCATTGGTTGCACAATCCATATTTAATATTCCATTAGATAAATTTCTTTCTTTTTCTACATATGCTGGTGGAATATTTTTCTTTATTTTTTCTTGATGATAACTATAATCATTTCTATATATAAAATCTCTAAAACTACTTTCTACATAATTATTATGTGAAGTAGATGCTTCATTATTATTTGTTCTTGGTCGTTTTGATGATAACGGTGGTGTTGTATGAGGTTTTTGATCAGTCATGTTAAATGTTGGTTCATCTTCATTTTCACTATCTATTCCGTAGATTATTCCTTGTTTATCCTCATCGTCTATTTTTGTCATTCTAGTTTCTTCAATATTACATTTTTATAATAATTGGGTTAATCTATCTATATCATCCATAGAACTTGTTGGTGGTTCTATTCGAATTGGTTTAAATAATTTTTTCCGTGATTTTTCTTTTTGTACTAAATCTTATAGTTCTTTTATTATTTCTTTTATTTCGTCTAATTTTCCGAATGTTTCTAATTGAATCTTTTGTATTATTTCTATAAGTGTTCCTATTTGCTCTGACACTCTCGGTGGTTCACTTATAAATTTTTCAAAATGTTTATATTTCTATTGCTAGTTTTAATAGTTTTTCTAAATAGAATTTTCTTTTAGTTTGCCTATAGCAAATATGGTGTGTGTATAGCATTCAAGTAGTCAAAATTTTTATTAGTTCTTGCTAGAAGTGGGTTCTACCCTTACGGATAGCATGAACTATTTCGTGTACAGGTCGGATAGAGTAGGAGCGTGTAGCTCCTAATTGTCAGGCATTTGGCAGTAAAAGGGAAACTGCTCAATCTCTTCTATAGAAGCATAACTGATCGAGTTTATTGTCGATATTTTGGCTATAGCTATAGAAGATAAAGGATAGGCTAAAGTCACTAGGTAATGACTCAGGTCGGGAACTGGAGTAGTGACACTAGATATAGTACATAAAGGAATACCTCAAGAAATACATTCTACACTTGGAGACTATCAAGCTTGTTGGAGCTCATCCCAGTCAACCTTTCCCTCAGGATTTTCCCTGAGGCCCCGGGAGGGACCAACTCGTTCTGGAAAAGCCAGCGCGCGACCTACAAAGGGCGATCTAATATGATCGTCAAACGCTTGGTTGATTGAATCGTTAGAATGTGAGCCAGACAAATCTGAAAAATGCAGCTCGAAATAATAACAATAAGATGCTCAAAAATTGCAACAAAAGATCAAATGCACGGGGGGAGGGGGGGGGGGGGG